GTTGGTTCAACCTGCCATTATTATTTCTATTAAATAAAAAAAAATACATTTTGTAACATTGCACTGATGGGACAGAAAAATAAGCAAAACCTTCTTCGTTAGCAAACGTCACATTTATTTAAATGTTAGCAGCACTGTTTCTTGCACTGGTATGTTGGCAGGTTTGACTCTTACAGTACCTAGTGCAAGCGAAAACCGACACTAAGGTGACGAACCTTTTCATTCCGCGACTGTACAACTTCGGATTTGCACCAATTTAGATTCGTATGCGAAATAAATTGTGCAGTGTGCAGTATGCGAATCAAATCCTCAAAATGTCTTTATTTCTAGCCATAATTGTTATTGAGCATAAACTGCCATTATCATATTGTATGTGTATCAGCCACTATTAGCAGCAATTATGCAAACTAGTAGACCTTGAGTTCTTCTGTCAGACTTGGTTCGAAGTGATCCAAAAAAATCACTTACGTATGCATTCACCCACATGGAACTCGGGCAATGAGTAACCTCGGCTCTCCGTGTAGGCCGGTCGAAGGCAATCCCCGAGAGCATCTCTGAATCACGCTCCGGCGCAAGATCTAACTAAACAAAATACTAGCATTTATTCTGTGCTACTGGGTAGGTACTATTTTTGAGACTATACTAATATGTATTATGCATGCGAAAGTTTAAGAGGCGAGACGGATGTTTGTTGGTCTTTCATGCAAAATTTCACGCCGATTTTAAAGAAACTGAACAATAACTACTGTTACTGGTACTATTTTCAAAACTCTATATAAGTTATACATGCGAGAGTTTATGAATAGAGATGTGTGTTTGTTGGTAATTCACGCGAAAACTATCAGTAGTCACTTCTGCTCCTGGATTAGCTACAATAATTATGCTACTAAACTTACGCTGCAGTACAGAATTAGTATTGCCAGTAAAATCAAAATAAGATTAAACTAAATTCAGTATCAGCTAGTTCTGATTTCGGAAGACGTAGTGTAGGCAGGCCTCCCACTTAGTGGACCGACGATCTGGTGAAGGTCGCGGGAGGCATCTGGATGCGGGTATAGCGCAGGTAGGGTTGCCAACTTTTCTTTCAAAATATAAAGTAGTAGAGGTCGGAGAAGGAAAACAGACAGTATTAAAAAAAAAAACAAACAGTATAGCTCTACAACGCGTACTTAAATGTGGTGTTGGGCATTTACTTTTAAAAATATCTATGGATACTAGTGATGCTAGCTGAAAACAGTATTTTGTATACTTTATTTTTGTTCAACAGTAAAAAGTATAATTTAGTGAAAAACAGTATAATACTGTTCAAAACAGTATAGTTGGCAACCCTAAGCGCAGGACAGTGACTGTGGAAATCTTTGGGGGAGGCTTTTGTCCAGTATTAGACGTATTTTGAAAACGACGGCGATCTCAATTCATATTTAAATCCATAACATCCTGTATGTATATTAACTAGTATTATCTAGTTTTCCTGTATGCCTTAACAAAATTAAATATTGTGTTACGACTTCACGTGTCAATACTAGGTTTTATCCAAGGCCTCAGACATACAATGTTCTTTGCCCATCTTGCGGATTGCCTTGATTTCAACTGCGTTGCGTATGTTTGACCATTTTACAACTTTACATGATTCTGTACTTAAGTTTAGAACGATTATGCTGAAACTAGTCTCAGAGAAGGAAGTGTTATGACATGATGCAGCCAGTACGAGCGTACTGGGTTATGAAATATATTGATGTCCTTATTTTTAGTCTACTAGCTTCTAATTACGGCTTCGCCTGGGTGGAAAGCATCGTCGTTTCGCCATCAAGTCACATTAACTATTGGTTTAGCGTGTAACGAACAAACTAGCAGACAGACGGGTTATTTTAGTATTCATAATATTATTATACGTAGATTATTAAATGTTATCTAGCATCCTTAGCACACGAACTACTCATAGATACAATCTGCAAAGTAGTAATTAGTGCCATGACGCAATAAATACTAATAGTTCCTTTAAAAAACTCAACACTACAAATTAGTTTATATCATAGTTATTTTTATCAGCCCTATTATGTTCCACATTGCAAGTGGACCACAATCTATATGATTAACTAGATCTTTATGCTAGTCGCGATAAGAGCACAATGGTTAATTTTACTGTTAATTACTGAAGTCAGTAAACTCTATTATCTAATTGTTGGTCGCTTATAATGTAAGTATACATTAGGTACAAAACGCATAATCACGTATATCACTTATACAACAATGATAATAATTACTTACTACGTTGATCTTCTTAGGAAATTTACAAAATATACGAAACAACGGTATTGTTTTGCTGCGATGTTAAATGCGAACATCACGTATTAATCGCATTTACTTCCGTAGGGCGCGAAGATCTGCCTTTGTTGTGATATATCGGTGATGCATTATGTTTGCCGATGACGTCAATAGCTAATCTGAATGTGGATGTCAGAACTTACGTAGTAGAGTTAATATTCAAGCGCCCTAGATCGAGCTGTGACCTCTTCTCACCTCAAGACATCTTTGCACCAACTAATAGAACTACATAGTATTAAATAGGCACTGCAAAATAACATATTGTAGGAATGTAATTTAATTTTCATATACACACATTCTTATTATTTTCCGCCAAGATAGATATCATATCTCTATTATAATTATACGATGATTGCTACATTTTAACTAGTTACTTTGATTGCCTTTATTAATTACTTTATAATAAACAATCGGAATTCAACTTTCCATTTTCTTTATGTCCTAGTCGGGTAACAACTACGACGTAAAATAATATCGGTATCATAATGAGAAGAACTAGATATGCAATTATGTTAATAGAAAACATTAATGAACTAAATAATGGAGTTTCTAGTGGAAATAGTGTTAAAGAATAAATCTTCTGCATGGAAATTAACAATTTCTAGTTTTTTTTTTGTGCAAACACATCACCCAATGTCATCGAAGCGTTTTTAAAATTATAGTATATTTCACAACTCCTTTTGAAGCTTCACCTTGTAGTTTTGGCAATGAACCTCCTATTATGATGCCGACTTTATATTACACTATTGTTTTTCGCTAAGCATATCAGTATAGTTACTGAGACGTTTTTTTTGGTCTGAGCGTGCGTTTTTAAACCGACTTCATTGGTTGTATTGTTCTTTGATGCGAGGTTTCGCTTATTGTATCTATCTACCCACTCTCAGGGCTGTCTCTGTACCGCAACATTCCCATCGTTATAGAAAATTGCTTGATATGCACTTGTTTTATGTACAAACAGCATTATCTATTGTACGTTTACTTAATGAGCAAAAACATGTCGAAGCTTCACATGTTACATGCGTAACCTTATACCAGTTTTAAGTAGACCGATCGGGCATAAATCGACCCGCAAAAAAGTATAACAGCTTTTTTATGACAATAACAAGACCAGTTCTGACGTCTACGATGATACACATACCTCAACTTTAGGTATTTTTGATTTGTCAATTGAATGACACATTTATAGATAAGAAACAACACAAATATTCAAGTAAACAAATACGTGTCTACACTGTCTACTCTACACAACTGTTTACTCAAAAAGTGGTCGAGTTGAGGTCGTTCTTTCCGCTTAAAATAATTTGCGAATATTACTGGGCACCTGCATTTTATTTCAAAAGATCGCCATTCGGGTCATGACTTTTCAATCGGCCTCAAGTACACCCGGTGCGATAATTCACAAAAATGCATAAAAACTGCATGCGTATTTGTAAATACGGGCAGACGATTACGGAGACCTTCTCCGGAACAATGGCTCTTTATGCAAAGGTTTTACAAACGTCAACACAAGTTGTACTTCCCTACGCTCGTTTACTAGTTTTTTAAAGGCGACAATACGCTGATGTATAACCGGCCAGTTTCCGACTGTACTTAAGTGCACGTTCGGATCGTCGTACGCGCAACCTCGAAAATATTTTTAGCTGCAGGAAGGTTCGCCGGTCGTTTTCCTCTTGATAAATATGATGCACATCTATGTCCAATACTGGCTGGAAACTATCCTACAGATAAATATGAACCGTACTTAGATAAAGATTCGGGTAGTTAGCGCTGTTTTGTTTTGGAGATAACGCAGAATGATTAGTGCTCGTATCTACACACGCACTTATCTTTTGGGGTCAATAGTCTTAACTTTGTAAAATAGTATAAAATTTACCAATTTGTCCACTTTAACAGTCGAAGGAGGCGTTGCTTATGAATTTTTCACACACGAAGCTGCTGTTTCTATTAAGCCTTTGTGTTTGTTAACTCCACAGGCGATATCTTTGTCTGCGAATTCTCAAAAGACTTCTTCAAAATGTTTTAGCCATAAAATAGAGAAACATTTTATCTCTCAAGGTTACCTATACATCCGTATATACCTATCTTACGTACATCCGCATAATAATGATATCACCTGATAAAATGACTATTTTTTTAATCATCAATGACTTAAACCTTAACCTAGCTCTACAAATTCTCTCAATGACAGAGGAAAGTGAATGGCGTAACGTATCAAACATACATTATTGTAGATAAGTACTTCTTTAACGAACGTATAGTATAAATGATTAAGTAACTTCAACTGTAGTTTTGTTACATTTTACGCCTAGACCGCTAAGACTTTTCTTACAATATTTGATGTAGAGATATTTAGTACTATGGTGAAGGAAATATGTCAAATATGTTTCATTTCAAGGAGATATGTTGGTCCACCCAAAAAGTGGACCGACGACCTCATAAAGGTAGCAGGAAGACGCTGGATGCAGGCCGCTACCAACCGCGCGATATGGAAATCATTGGGGTAGACCTATTTTCAGCAGTGGACGTCTTGTGGCTGAAATGATGATGATGATGAAGGAAATGGCCTCCATTTGTAGCAATATTTTTTTGTGTGACAGATCTAAACCCTCAGGCAGTAAATATGTTTATGTAATCGTGCTCTTAAGTTCGTTTGTCATATCAATATTCTTTCGCAGGTGCACGAAGATGATGTCATCGGCTTCGGTATATCCAGCAACGGCAAGTTCATGATGTCCTGCTCCTCAAAGACTGACATGGTCATCTGGGACCTCAAGGGCCAGCAACTGGACCGATTAGACACCTATCTGATGAGCACCAACTCTGCGAAGATATCCCCTTGTGGGCGCTTCGTCGTCGCCTCGGGATTTTCGCCAGATATTAAAGTGATGGAGGTGGTTTTCTCAAAGAATGGAGAGTTCAAACAAGTGACCAAAGCCTTCGAGCTGACTGGACACAGCTCGGGCATCTACGACGTAGCCTTCGATGTAGACACGTCGCATATAGCCACTATATCGAAGGACGGCACGTGGAAGCTATATCACACAAAGAGTGAGTACTTATTCTGTTTGACGCGCAAATATGTTATCACTTTACGTTACGTTTCAATGTAGACGTAAATTAGTTAAACGATGCGACACACGCATTTGTATGCGGCTTGGATCGCCCAGTGAAATATGTCGCTGGTACGCTCACAGTCATGTTGAAAGATTAAATTAAGTTGAGCAAATGTTCTCTAATCCATAGGAAATGAGGAAATATTGAATCGAATGTTTTTAAAGTAATTGAAATATGTAGGTATGTAATATAATTTTCTTGTTTTTTATCCGTTTCCTACTATTTATTAACGAGTGAGAATTATTATACTTTTGTTATCATCAAAGTTGAACGACGCAAATGGTGTAAGAAAAATATATTATACAAACCAATCGAATCGGAAAGTTTTCTGCTACAAGGCAATTAAGAATCTAGTTACAGATAACTCTATAAAAACCAATACGCAATTTATTAATGTGACGAAAAACAAGCAATTAATATGTCACATACAGTTAGTTGATGTTCTCCAATAAAGCAGTGTTCTCGTGTTTTTGTTTTGATGTCCAAAAAGGAGGAAAGACTTGCGCACACGTCTCCAAACGAAGTATTAGGCGCATATCACAAAATTAGATTCAATTTCAAACATAGATTTGTTTTTTTCAATATTTTAAGACAGAATATAAATTTTGACTCAGATTGAGTCAGTCGAGTTTTAAGCGCTGTCTTGTATACGGATCTTAAACGCATATTAAAAAGTACAAGGGGAATCACTTCACTTGTGATATATTTATTTATGTTTCAATATTTCCCAAGATGTTACGATACGCTTACGCGTCGTTATTGTTTAGGTATTTCCCAAGAATTGTGTTAAACGTAAATACAAAAGTTCCTTCGACTTCTCTAAGGTTTCGGCGACGCTTTCATAAGAAATTTCGCTTTTCGCTCCGATTCGAAACCGTACAAATGCACGCAAAATGAAAATGATTGCGTGATTAAAACGTCTAATGCGTAATTATTAACCCACGATTCCATGGTTTATTCTGGAATTTATGGAATATTCTGGAACTTGTTTTCTCAATTTGATGTGAAAACAAGTCTTAACCCGCCTACGACCTCATATAAAGGCCATGCGCGACTCTCCCTTGGGTTCTGACCTGAGGTCGACCTATACAAATTAGAATAAGAAATTGCACTCGACGGTCGCTATACACTTTAAATTAATGTTCTTTCTATCTTTTTTAATCATTCATTATGGTATTGACAAAAAAAGACTTCGTCTATCGACTTTTAGAGTAGGTACTCCACGCCACGTACACTCAAATCTTAAAAAATATTTGAAAGAAAGAAAGAAAAAAATGTTTATTCAGTATCATCGACAATACACTTACAACAATACTTAAAATTATTTAATGAGTAGGATTTGGATATAATACTCCATGCAAAGCTTGCATTAATGGGTAAAGAGCACTAAGTCTTTGGCGTAACAGAGTCTCAAATAATATTATTGCGACAAATCGTTCGCCAGTATGGTATTATACTACAGTTTGTTATTGTTCAAAATTTAATATCGTTTAAGACAACTGGAAAATACTGTATGACATCACAGTGACGTATTACGGTGGGTCAGTCCCGTATTCCGAGTCCAAGAGACGTTGATTTCCTGTTACCCACGCGCGCGCGCATGCGGCCGGCAACACAAGTTCAGAGATCAAAACAACGCTCTGCAAATGTATTATCATTAGAGGATAATTGTTTTTATCATTGGGTGGGAGTCAATGCTTTTTCCTTCCTTATCAAACATAGACTCGGATTATTACGTGTCGCGGCGATTATGTTTTCCTGTCATCTATTTTTGGAACGATTATTCAATAAACATACCTACTCTATGATAATTACAGGGTGTTTTTCATCACCCACGCGTGACACCCGCAAGCGTTCTTTTCATACAAGTATTTATTGTAATCCGTGGAATACGATATTAAAAACACCCTTACACACCCACTTAATTTACTTACGCGTTTTAAAGGTAATTTAAAACTCGAATAAATGTCATACAAAGGTTCTATGCAGGTTCGTAGACGACAAAGGTGGTGAAAATAGATATGAAAAGAGATTTTATTTTAACAAAGGAAATAAATAGCTTAAAAGCACTTTGAAGAAAATGTCTAGTGTGGGCGGGCGGATCGAGTCGCATCCTACATATTATTATAGTCATGAATAAGAAAACGGACGGTAGTACATCAAGCTTAAAACTTATATCATTGTATTATTGCAATTTTGCAACATATTTATATGTGCCTAAAATTTCAGCAGTCGAAAATTAATTAAAATCAGATGTTTTGGAGAAAATTGAACTTTTGTTGTTGACTGTACGGAAAGCTTGACAGAAAACATTTCGAGGGTAGTGCTATTTAGTCGCATGCGCAAGTGACTGTGTTACATTTCCACATTTAAACTTGGAATGATTTATGATGTAATTTATGTGAAGATATTTTAACCATTGGATAGATCTTTGAAGACTTAGATTATTTATTGCATGAGGGCGATGCCGCGGGCTGAGCTAGTCTTATTTAGAACGAAAATAAATAACTAAGCGTGTGTTGAATGAAATTGTTATAGTATTTTGGTTCTAGCTACAGTCCTCTCAACTTAAGCTGAGAATTGCATTTGTGTGAGTGCACACCGATAGTTTAGAGTGGCAATCGGCTTGAAGCGCGGCGCGTCCCGCGCATGGTTTATTATAAGCAAGCGGCCTGAAGCGCGGCGCGTCCGCCACGCACCGCTTCCTTGTCGCTCACATACTTCACAGCACTTCACCCCCGGTACTGGTAGCAGATACGTGTAATTTTATGTAATTGTGTTCCAAATATTAGTGAAATGGCTCCTACTGTAAGTGAATTTCCTGTACGAAATCCATTAAGCAGCCAAGTGAAAGAAGTTTTATGCAAATTGAATACGTATTTTAAAGGTGTGAACGATGTTTTTAGTCTGTTTTTATTTTGTAATTTTATAAAGTTTGTCTTTTTGTTGTATTTTATAAGGCTGGCTGGACGCCCTCTATAAACGGTGCTCGCAGAATATCAGCGTCGAGGTACTTCGTGCCTTGGCATATGCTGAGCGAGGACCTGTTTTTATTTATTTATTTATTTAAAAGGATGTGTCAAGTGTCGTTACATCGGCCCAATGAGGATCAGTACTGTTGTAGAAAATTCAATAAAACTAGTATCTACGTTAATCTTTAAGACATAAGAAAGATATATCTTTTTGAATTATCCAAATCGGACCATTACTTACGAAGATATTAAGTAATAAACATAGGCCGTTTTTGCCGCTAAAAGTCAACGTACGCAAGGCCGCGTGATGTCATTATATCCGAATCGAGCGCAGCCGGCGTACTAATGGGATGGAAAATATTTTTTTCCGGCTAAACTATCAGTTTTAGAAAAAAACTTTTCATAACATTTATTCTTCAAAATAAAGTAACCTATCGACCAGTAATTTTTAAAAATAGAAATTGTGAAAAATAAGTATTGCTATGTCCAAAAACCACATTTTCATAGGATTCGATGCAATGCGGAGACGCGGTTGGGGTGAGTGTAACTTAATGATTGTTTGTATTGAACATAATAATACTTAATATGATGCTAATTTATTTGAATAAATCGCCAAATATACCACCGCGGAGACCCCAATCGCGTCTCTGCGTGCCATTGAATCGTATGAGCGTATGGATTTTTTGCGTTATTTTTCACAATTTCCATTTTTAAAAATTACCTATCGATAGCTTACTTTATTCTGATGAATAAATGTCATTACAAGTTTTTCTCTAAAACTGATAATTTGGCTAGAAAAAAATATTTTCTATCCACGCAGTACGCCGGCAGCGTTCGGATCGGATATAATGACGTCATCGTCCCCGCGCCGGGCGGTCAGTGAACTTTTTTAGTAATTTGGCCATAACTTCGTCAATTTTTGTCGTAGAACAAAAATTTTTGCACTGTGTATTAAGGATTTCTTAGCCCTATAAATCTGCATTCACAGCTAAAAATCGAAATGATCCTCATTGGTAGCAAGTGTTTTATAGACTTCCTTTTAATAAAACATTAATTTTATTTGTATGTGTTTTACTAACGGTACTTTTGGCGATCACTCACACAAATGCAATTCTCAGCTTAAGTTGATAGGACTGTAGCTCTACCTTGAAGGCAAAAGCCTTCACAAAATAGCCTACATATAAAATCCTGTGTAGGCGGTCTAATGATCTAGGTTTTCATTTGAACTGACGGATTAGGCTATACATAGTTGTTGTTAAATCTTCTCTATTCCAAATACATAACTTTATATTAATTTTACCCAACTATTTACTTTTCCGACTGTTCTAAATAATTGGATAAATTAAAATTACAATGCGAATGAAACAAATGGGATTCATTGTTTACTTGAACTAAAAAACGTTTGTTCAACTTAACCGTGAAATGACTTACCTATATTAATGAACAATACCTGTGCGTTTGAAAAAAGGTTATTGTCTTGAATACTGATAGCAATAAAGAGAAATATACTTTAACCTACTTTATAACATGATTTCATCAGTACAATAGTACACGTGTAGTTTGCACGGCAGGTGTATTTTCACGGAAAATAATATTAATACGATCTATAAGTTTAGCACTGTGGAACCTTATGTAGTTCTAATAAGTTACTATTTTATAACAATTTATAATGTGATGTACTAAAAGGGTAGTTTTCACTACTTAGTCAATTTACTTACATGTAGCGTAGGTCAGTACTCTGATTTTGATTTTCCCGTAGATTGGATTGAAAATTGAACCAATTAAGTCAATTTACGAGTGGGTACTACAGTAAATAAAAAAGCTTCATTTTAAATGTTTCACTTTTTTAGGTACTTACCTTACCTAGTTTTTTTTTTAAGAAAGTGTGGTTAATTTTGTTAATTAAATATTGGATACAGATGTTAAGTAATTAATTATACCTATTCAATCCGTAACAAATACCTTACGATGAGTCATGTTGATTAAAATCAACATTTATTTAAACATTCTTAATTATTCAATAATTTTATTGATAAGTATTTCAATTTTCTTTTGGTGTCACAGAGCAGTTATAGCTGTTAATGTATAACCACAGATTACTAATGTACAGTCACGGAATGAAAAGGTTCGTCAGTTTTCAAATTGATTCCTTCAACGAATCGCGAGCACATATTACCTTTTGAAACTATGTTACAGAATAATCTCGAGTTAGAGAAAATAATCTTTAACTGTTTGTCAGTAAAGTTCAAAATTATCCAGATCAAAGTTGTTTGACGATTTATTTTGTCACGAAGATTATTATGATTTAGTGTCCGACCGAAACTAGTTTTACGANCATTTTGAATTTACTGGGCCCGATATCAACCAACCTAATTTTGAGCTTCGTAGTTTAGGTCCTGAAGGACATAGAGACGATTCTTCGTTCCCTAATAAATCCCAAAATAAGTCGGCTCCAATCAGCATGTCGATGGGAGCAGGTCGGTCAAAGGTAGGATCTGCCAGCTGTATATGTTTCGGAATTTTTAGCATATGTTTGTTTATAGGAGCCTTAGGCAGCTCGCTTGTTAGCTCGTCTAGTACGAGACAAGACAAATTTGTATTGAATGGGCTGCATAAAGACTGTATTTTAACAGTGCAGCTTTCTACGACATTGTTAGAATGATTGTTGCCAATACCAATGATTTTGAGTGCGTCTATAGGCGTGGAATGAAGACCTAATTTGCTCTTTAGTGACGTTGTGATGAACGACGATTGGCTACCACAGTCTAGAAGCGCTCTAACCTGCTGGAACGAGCCTGTATTTGTATTGTATACTTTGATTAGGGCTGTGGACAAAATGACTTGAGTGCTTAAATGCTCAGATAAATTAACAACAGCCTCGGATTGGTATAAATTGCTTGTATTATCGCTTGGGTCATGAAGCAAAGTATTGTGACGTTTCTTGCAAATTCTACAGGGCCCTAGACGACAATCCTTCTCGGCATGCCCATGGCGAAGGCAGTTCATGCATAAACTGTATTTATTTACATCATCTAAACGCTCCTGTATGTTTTTCGATTTGAATACTGAACAGTCATAGATGTTATGACCATCATTACAAATAATGCAATGATATTTACGCTCACTAGTAGTAGTAAATGATTTTGTGAATGAATGACGTTCTTGCTTGGTGTCTGTCGACTCATCCATCGAGTTCTACGACACGTACACTGGGAAGCTGTACGATACTGTCGATAACGTTTATTCAGGTAAAAAAAAAACATGCAGTTCTTACAAGTATTATTAGTAGATTTGGTCCTAGAGACTGCCAACCCTCCGAAGATCGTGCTGTCTCCCAATGCAGAATTGTTGGCGGTGTCCGTCGACTCATCCATCGAGTTCTACGACACGTACACTGGGAAGCTGTACGATACTGTCGATAACGTTTATTCAGGTAAAAAAAAACATGCAGTTCTTACAAGGATTATTAGTAGATTTGGTCCTAGAGACTGCCAACCTTGAGAATCGCGCTGTCTCCCAACGCTGAAGTATTGGCAGTGTCCGTCGACTCATCCGTCGAGTTCGACGACACGTACACTGGGAAGCTGTACGATACTGTCGATAACGTTTATTCAGGTAAAAAAAACACGTTATTCCTTTAACTAAGATTTGTAGAATCGTTCGTGAAGAATGCCAACCCTCCGAATATCGCGCTGTCTCCCAACGCAGAAGTGTTGGCAGTGTCTGTCGACTCATCCATCGAGTTCTACGACACGTACACTGGGAAGCTGTACGACACTGTCGATAACGTTTATTCAGGTAAAAAAAAAACATGCAGTTCTTACAAGTATTATTAGTAGATTTGGTCCCAGAGACTGCCAACCTTGAGAATCGCGCTGTCTCCCAACGCAGAAGTGTTGGCGGTGTCCGTCGACTCATCCATCGAGTTCTACGACACATACACTGGGAAGCTGTACGATACTGTCGATAACGTTTATTCAGGTAAAAAAAAACATGCAGTTCTTACAAGGATTATTAGTAGATTTGGTCCTAGAGACAGCAAACCCTCCGAAGATCGTGCTGTCTCCCAATGCAGAATTGTTGGCGGTGGCCGTCGACTCATCCATCGAGTTCTACGACACGTATACTGGAAAGCTGTACGATACTGTCAATAACGTTTATTCAGGTAAAAAAAAACATGCAGTTCTTACAAGTATTATTAATAGATTTGGTCCTAGAGACTGCCAACCTTGAGAATCGCGCTGTCTCCCAATGCAGAATTGTTGGCGGTGGCCGTCGACTCATCCATCGAGTTCTACGACACATACACTGGGAAGCTGTACGATACTGTCGATAACATTTATTCAGGTAAAAAAAACACGTTATTCCTTTAACTAATATTTGTAGAATCGTTCGTGAAGACTGCCAACCCTCCGAAGATCGCGCTGTCTCACAACGCAGAAGTGTTGGCGGTGTCCGTCGACTCATCCATCGAGTTCTACGACACATACACTGGGAAGCTGTACGATACTGTCGATAACGTTTATTCAGGTAAGAAAAACGTGCAGTTCTTACAAGTATTATTAGTAGATTTGGTCCTAGAGACAGCAAACCTCGAGTATCGCGCGGTCTCCCAACGAAGAAGGGTTGGCGATGTCTGTCGACTCATCCATCGAGTTCTACGACACGTATACTGGAAAGCTGTACGATACTGTCGATAACGTTTATTCAGGTAAAAAAAAACACGCAGTTCTTACAAGTATTATTAGTAGATTTGGTCCTAGAGACTGCCAACCTTGAGAATCGCGCTGTCTCCCAACGCAGAAGTGTTGGCAGTGTCTGTCGACTCATCCATCGAGTTCTACGACACATACACTGGGAAGCTGTACGATACAGTCTATAACGTTTATTCAGGTAAAAAAAAACCTGCTGTTCTTACAAGTATTATTAGTAGATTTGGTCCTAGAGACAGCAAACCCTCCGAAGATCGCGCTGTCTCTCAGCGCAGAAGTGTTGGCAGTGTCTGTCGACTCTTCTATTAAGTTCTACGACACGTACACTGGGAAGCTGTACGATACTGTCGATAACATTTACTCAGGTAAAAAAAACACGTTATTCCTTTAACTAATATTTGTAGAATCGTTCGTGAAGACTGCCAACCCTCCGAAGATCGCGCTGTCTCCCAACGCAGAAGTGTTGGCGGTGTCCGTCGACTCATCCATCGAGTTCTACGACACATACACTGGGAAGCTGTACGATACTGTCGATAACGTTTATTCAGGTAAAAAAAAACATGCAGTTCTTACAAGTATTATTGGTAGATTTGGTCCTAGAGACTGCCAACCTTGAGAATCGCGCTGTCTCCCAACGCAGAAGTGTTGGCGGTGTCTGTCGACTCTTCTATTGAGTTTTACGACACATACACTGGGAAGCTGTACGATACTGTCGATAACATTTACTCAGGTAAAAAAAACACGTTATTCCTTTAACTAATATTTGTAGAATCGTTCGTGAAGACTGCCAACCCTCCGAAGATCGCGCTGTCTCCCAACGCAGAAGTGTTGGCAGTGGCCGTCGACTCATCCATCGAGTTCGACGACACGTACACTGGGAAGCTGTACGATACTGTAGAGAATATTTATTCAGGTAAGAAAAACATGGGATTCCGATAACTTAGATTAGTAGATTCGTTCGTGGAGACTGTGTCACACCACACATACTATCAAACTTTGGAGGATCGCGCTATCTTCCAACGCAGAAGTGTTGGTTGTCTCTGTCGAAACGTGATTGTTATTTCTATTCATAAACTATAGAAGTATAGACAAAGTTGATCAATTTGTTTAGACTTTTCTGTACACGTTTACTGCTATAAACCCTGCAAAGATCACGTAGTCTCTCAAAGCTGAAAGTGGGCGTCAAGGCGTCAACTCATTAAATTCTTGATCATTATGTTAAGACACGTACGTACTCAGGGGTTATTTATTTATTTTGGAAGATGTTTATGGATGTAACATAGGACTGCTGGTCGTTGTAATGTATTTTTAAGAAATTACTTAATCTGACATCAATCAAAACTTAACTTAAAAGTTATAGAATACTCACAAGTAAAAACAATTAATAGAGCTTGCACAACAATTCTGAAAAGTTACCAAGGGTACTTGTAAAGTAAGTTCAGTAAACTCTTGGTAGCTTTTCAAAGATGTTGCGCAAGCTTTAAAGTTTGTTTTGTTCAAATTTAATTCATTACATACGATATCCTTTATTTCGCTACATAATAATCGTAGTTTCTTGCATGAGAAAGTTTCTCACAAAAATGAAAGTTACGTTAGCAATACTTTTAGTGCTGATGATGAAGTAATTTCACATTTCATTTTTTTACGATAAATTCAAATAATGTTATACATAAAAATGCAATTAAGATTTTTCTCTTTAATTGTAACAAGGAAAAACATTGGAGAGTATTCAAAATCAAAATCAAAAAATATTTATTCAGTTTAGACCACAAGTGGCACTTATGAACGTCAATAGAAAATAATAAAAAAAGAAAAAGGTAGCCCTTATGGGGCACTTTACATGTCTCCTTATCTTTTGGGCCCTACCAGCGCTTCAAGACAAACATATGGCATATTGTGCATAGTTAAAACGTCTCAGTTGAAGCAATTATGATGAAATATTTATTTCAGTTAAGCATTATAAAGTATCACTACCATGTCAAACTACTGGTAATAAACAATCGTTTTGTTATTTGCTACTTGTAGTCTTAGCAAAAGATATTGAGTTATGAATTCTTCGTCTTGAGATGATCTTGGGATTTTGCGTGTCGTTGCGTGATACTGTCTTGTTCTGACGCCACGTGTTCGCGAAACCGGTACGGTCATTACCATTCTGCGAATTCCGTGCGATCAGGGCCGGATCGTGAATTTGTGGGGCCCTGGGCTGAAACTACTTGGGGGCCTATCTTAGTACTTACTCAACTAATAGCCATGCCAAAAAACTGTTTCTATAATGATATATTATTATTCTTATACATACAGTGTGAGTCACGATAAAGTGCACATATGAAAATAGGTGAAACTATAGTCCAGTCAATGAATGCCTTAACGACGGTGTAGAGAGAAATCCCTGGAACACAATTTCTGACCTCGGGACTTTATTTAGACTAGTTAGGAGGTTAACATAGCAAAAGTCCCCGCCCTTAGCCCTTAAGCCGGCGGGGGGAGGGGGGTTTAAAGGTACCACTTTTCGGTTTTTCGCTTAATCCTCGGAAACTATGCGTCCTAGTGACATGGCTACGATAAACCAAAAAAAGCTTATTAAATTTGTTACAGGTGAGACAGTCAGGTTTTTCTATATCTTGTATAGTTTTCGCGGCAACTGCTCTAGAAGGTCTGTAATATTGGAAATTTTAATTTTATCTTACATGTTCCCATCAGGAGAAAATTGACTAAATCAACATTGAGCAAACATTATAGACATGCGGGGAGCATGTTAAGCCTAGTTCCAGGGAGGGGACTGCATCGTGCGTATATTTAGACGAACCAATTGGAGCCACTTTTGACTCTTCATCACTCAAAAAGTACTGTGCATTAACACTTCAAATTTGGCTCATGTGTTGAGACTTGCAAGATAAACATCAGCTTGAAATTTCATAAATATACCTCTAACGGTTATTTAGGTATTGACGTTCAAAAATCGACATTTAGGACACTAAAATCTATCTATCACCTGTTAAATGTTAAAATTTACTGGTTTTTTATTTGTTCCTTTGTATTTACACAACTACCTATCTGGATGCCAAATTTGAACCTTCAAGGTCATCTGGAAGTGGTTAGAATTTGGTGTTATTGGTCAGCCATGTAGATTTTTAGACGTCAATACCTAAAGAACCGTTTGAGGTATATTTATGAATTTTGAAGCTGATGTTTATCTTGCAAGTCTTAACACATGAGCCAAATTTGAAGTGTTAATGCACAGTACTTTTTGAGTGATGAGGAGTCAAAAGTGGCTCCAATTGGTTTGTCTAAATACACGCACGGTGCAGTCCCCTCCCTGGAACTAGGCTTAACATGCTCCCGCATGTCTACAATATTATAATGTTGATTTAGTCGATTTTCTCCTGATGGAAACATGTAAGACAAAAATAAAATTTCCAATATTACAGACCTTCTAGAGCAGATGCCGCGAAAACTATACAAGATATAGAAAAACTTGACTATCTCGTAGCAAATTGAATAAGCTTTTTTTGGTTCATAGTAGCCATGTCACTAGGACGCATAGTTTCCGAGGATTAAGCGAAAAACCGAAAAGTGGTACCTTTAAACCCCCCTCTCCCCGCCGGCTCAAGGGCAAGGGCGGGGACTTTTGCTATGTTAACCTTCTAACTAGTCTAAATAAAGTCCCGAAGTCAAAAATTGTGTTCCACTGATTTCCATCTATAATGCTTTATTGACTGGACTACTAGACCTATTTTTATCGGTCAAAACATTTTCGATTTTTTTTTCTGCCAATTACGTTAGGTAACGTAAGGGCCCCGGGGTTACAAGGGGCCCCCAGATCCCACTAAAAAGTAGGCAATAATTTGAAAAAAATAAATAATAGTTGTCTGTAAAGACGGTTTACGGACGATATTTTTACGTGACAACGTCATAAGAAAATATTGATTAAAAATTGCATACTAAATTTTAGAGTTTTTTTTTATTTATTTTTTCTGTCAATTACTTCTTGTAAAGAAAACGTAATAACTTTTAAACTAAGCGGTATGTCCTGATAAAATAAAAACAGTAACAATGCTAAATAACAGGCGATACTAAAAAAATACATAGAGAAAATGCCCAGAAAATACCAACAAATAATAAAAAATTATACTTTTTGAAAAAAATCTGCTTTTAAATTCGTGTTTTTTTCGTTATTTGATAAATTACTTTGTATTATTCTCTATCGTATTAATTTTGTAAAACCAAAAATCGGAAGTCTCTATCCCTATCACAACATTTGCTATGATCGTTTGAACAAAGGCCTGCCACCACATTATTCTCCGCTACAGGTAGAGACAATTTTAATTTTAACTAAAATGCTTATTTTACTTCGAAATCTTTTGTTTTTATTTGAAATGTAACTTGTTTTTATCAAAATTACAAATCTAGAGCCACTTTCAATTTCGTTGTTAACGAAGCGTTGAATGGCGCGCCCGGAGAGGCTTAGTTCAAACGATCATTGCAAACATTGTGATAGGGATAGAGACATGCTATTTTTAGGTTTACAAAGGTAATACGATAAAGAATAACACAAAGTAATAAAAACAATCTGTTATGGGGGCATTATTTGGAGAAATTTATCAAATAACCAAAAAAACACGAATTAAAATGCAGATTTTTCTCAAAATGTATCATTTTTTTATTATTTGTTGCCATTTTCTGAGTATTTAATGTATTTTTTTAGTATCGCCTGTTATTTAGCATTATTACTGTTTTTATTTTATCAGGATATACCTCTTAGTTTAAAAGTTATTACGTTTTCTTTACAAGAAGTAATTGGAAGAAAAAATTTTTTAAAAAAATCTCAAAAATTTAGTATGCAATTTTTAATCAATATTTTCTTATGACGTTGTCACGTAAAAATATCGTCCGTAAACCGACTTTACAGACCACTTTTTTTCTTTTTTTTTTTTCAAATTATTGCCTACTTTTTAGCGGGATCTGGGGGCCCCTTGTAACCCCGGGGCCCTGGGCTGCAGCCCAATCAGCCCATAGGTAGATCCGGCCCTGCGTGCGATCCTGTTCCCCAATAACGAAACATTAAACTGATTAAAAAAACAACAAATACCAGATATCGCACGGCCAACTAAAGCAACACCAAGTTTTCTGTGAACTTTATGAATTATGCAGCGGGCTATGTTTAGTTACGCAATCGATTTTCCTTCGTCATCGCTTCCGATCCGGTTTTCGATGTATCACAATCAAGTTGCAACACGAGGCTCGGTCCAGATATTTCGCTTGTTTCGCTGGAGCCTGAACGCTCGGATTTTGAACGGCCGACATAACTTAAATGTTTTTAATGAGATCATGATGTAATTCGATCGTTCATCGAGTTGACATGATGAATCATCGCGAGTACGCGACCTACTGCTGGAAAGTCTCGTGCGCATGATTCATTATTACAAAGGAAAATCCTTTGATGGCGCGAAACCGATCCGTTTGCGAATTTTAGCAAACGCGTAGACAGCATTATCCTCAAAGCGATCGGCGTATATTCCAAGACGACTATCCAACGGTGACGTTACAT